AATAAATAATACGAAGTGAATTTACGTATTCACTGTTTTAGGCTGACGTACTGAAATCACGCCACTGACTTATTTATAGTTATACAAAAAAAAGATATATGATTTAATATTTTATGCATCAGTTAGTAAATACATTTAGATACATTCCTAAGGTATAACAATATTCAACAAACATGAATGAAGAATAGTCTTTTCAATAAATTTCTTAGTTCATTTCAACATTTATCAATCCGAATTGTTTCAAAAGGATAACCAAATTTAAGACAACTATAGCATATGATTCCAGGATTGTTTGCAAAATAAAATAATACTAGAATGGGTTTTGTGGAGAATTGGTAATTTCAATAGTTGAAATCATGAATCAATTGAAGCTAGACCACCATGGAAAACCCGCAGGGGGCGGGATCGTGGATGCGCACTGCTGACAGTGCTTCCAGGTTTTCCATGGTGGTCTAGCTTCAATTGATTCATGATTTCAACTATTGAAATAATACTATTGATGTTTAAATGAGTAGTGAATAGAATTACATAAAATAAATTCATATATCAAATCATAAAATTAGTAATCAGAGTAGATATCAATATTCCGAGAAATAGAGACAAATATGAGAAGAATGAACAACAATTGGATAGAACTAGAAAGGAAGGCTGAGGACAGAGTGAGTTGGAGAATGCTGGTCGGCGGCTTATGCTCTATTGGTGGTAACAGGTGTAAGTAAGTAAGTCAGTAAACATCGATAAAATAGAATGAGAGAAATAATAATGTAATTACAAATCAGATCAAATATTTGATCGGAAGACAAAATGGTGTATAAAATGATGTGATTTAGGTCAGAAATAATAACTCTGCCTGGGTGTTAATTAAATTGTTTTTATTTACAAGACCAACCATAGTAATAATAACAATACGAATATGCATGAATAAAAATAACATGATCATCTTATTATCAGGATATGGTTGACGATGGTAGGACAAGTTCTGCAATATATTTGATTTGTATACATAGCTCCTACATCTTGAACTGAATAGTTATGTGCTTTTATCATTTAATAGATTGAGGGTCTGATAGATTTTATATAAATGGTAACGAATATGTTAAGCTATTATAAACGATTGGTATACGCTGACAGTATGACCGGTTTGTTCATGGTCTTTACTATAACTTTGAATAATCAAATTGGAAGATGTTCTTTTGGACCACTAACCTGCATTTTCATCTGTTTGACTATTTGAGTCTTTTAATTATTCTATGAACTATATCAAGTAGGAAATAGAATATTAAAACATTAACGAGAAAACCTGTTATTTATATGGACCAAACAAGATGATTTCCACTTTTTTTTCTGAAATGTGATCTATTTCATATCAATGACTTTTCTAATTTCATTTATGTATTCCTATAAGAAGTATTTACTTAGTTTTGCTAGTATTGTAATGAACGAGAACAAAGGCGAGGACAACCAAATGGATCGTAATATAACATTACAGAACATCTTGGTAAAATCTGAGAACTATACAGTAAATACTTCATTCGCGAAATATTCACCAATCGTCTCAGACATCGTTGCTTCTTCGTTCTTATACCAATTAATCTCTCTTCTCGTTCTCTTTTCTGTGATTTACTTAACGTTCTACCGCCAGGCATTCCATTTTTGATTGGTGATACATACTACTTATATCTGTAGACATCAGTAGCACATACTATAGTATGTTCCATTTAGGAAAATATAATTTTATTAAATAATGTTAGAAATACGTTAAGGTTTTTGATACATTTGATCAACAAAATATTTTAAACTGTAAGTAGCTGATATGATGAGACTATAATCTATGCATGAACTTTGAAGAACTCCAGAAAGAACTTGAATGAGTTCACTAACTTACTACAGTTTAATGAGGCTTATAAATAAATGTGAGAAACCAGAATCAAGATTTACAGTCAGAGTAAAGGTTTTCATTACTCACTTACATCAGCTATAACATCAAAATGTTGTGTAATCACGTACATGAATACATTTCGCGTCAAAATAATATATTAACAGTTTTAAAGCTTATCAGTATTGGATTTTGGAGATTGTTAAGTTTTTGACTGAGATCATGAACCGATTGATGTTAAACCACCATTGAAAACCTGGAAGCACTGGAGGAAGCACAATAGGACGAAGTGGCCGTCTAGTGCTTCTAGGTTTTCCATGGTGGTCTAGCTTCAAATGACTCATGATCTCAACTATTGACAAAATTTATCATCTGTCAACTAGTGATTAGCAAAAACATCGATTACTGAGATTCTAATGAAAATTGTTGATTGGTGGATGCATCCAATGGCTAAACTATCTTCTCTATACTTAGTAAAAAAGTTCCTTGCAAAAGTCAGATATAAACAACATCTCGCCTAAGGTTATTCTTAAACTGTCTATCAGTTAAATTTAATGATAATTTTTACTTCTGAGCATCATTCAGGTAGTTTATATTTCCTAAGTATTATATAATCTATGAGATAAGTCTTTGATTTTGACACGAATTTTGTATCTATGCTTTTCCCAATTTCTTTTTTCGAATATTGATATATTTAATCAAGAAATAAGTAGACGTTTTTAATTATTGTCTTTCATGATTCCAATTTTACAAGTCAAACTCAATGTTATTCAAGTCTTCTCTGACATAAAGTATGTATATTTGTTTCGTTTTCAATGATTTATACTATTTTTTAAGCAAAGACGGATAGTGGCTAGCAATGGAATCTAAAACACTTGTTTCGTCCTATTTGGGATCCATCAGCTTGAAAAAGCTTGTAACTCAAGGCAATCTGCACAGGATGCTTATAGGCCAACGATAGACTTATCAATTGCAGTCCAAAACAACAATGAGAAGATACAAGCAAACAATACCACGTGGATTTATACTATTATTTCTATATTGTAAACATCTAAGGAAATAAATAAATCTATGTTATTCTGTTACCACTTTTATTCTATCTTCATTCAAACTTGAGAAATTGTTTAAAAATGATCTAAATAATAGAAAATTTATGTTGACCTAATTTAGTTGTGAATACAATTGTTAGTAAACATTCGAGTATGTTAAACATATTCAGTGTATATATTTTTCCTCCAAAAGTAGCTATAAATTCGATGTGCTTATTTCTAATAGTATTCGCTTTTTTAAAATCAGCTGAGGGTGGCTTATGAACAATTAGTTTTAAACTATGCTCACAAAGCAAGCTCTCACATGGAATCCTCGAGGTCAAAGGAAAAGAGGAAGATTAAAGAACACATTACACCGAGAAATGGAGACAGACATGAGAAGAATGAACAAAAATTGGATAGAACAAGAAAGGAAGGACAGGGTGGGTTGGGAAATGCTGATCGGCGGCCTATGCTCCACTGGAAGTAACAGGCGTAAGTAAGTAATTTGAATCAAACAATTAAGACTTTATACACAGGACCAATTAGTAATACTCAGTGATCAGTCAATACAATTAGTTTACACCTACATAAAACCAGTCGATAGTTGATTAGCACAAAATCTAAGCTCAAGTGTCTTATTGCTTAAATTCAACTAAATAACATTCAAACATAATATATGGAATACCCAGCCGATTAGACTATTGGTCATACTTCAAAATGGTTGATAAAATTAGGTCGGTACAACGAACTAATTACGAATCGATGATCAACCAATGTAAATATCAAGTACTACCTAGTTTCTAACAGTTATCTAGTCTATGTCAATCCGTGACAAAAATTGAAGCTAGAGCACCATGGAGAACCTAGAAGCACTGGATGACCGTTTCGTCCTATTGCATGACTCCTTAGCAGTGCGCATTCACAACCTAGCCTCGCGAGATTCGAACACTGAGCCGGCAAGCACCCAACGGTGCTAATGTCTATCTTCGACTAATCCACGAAATCGCGCCACCATTATCTTCAGTGAGTTACTATCTTACAACAGACCCGGATGAAATCCACTGGTCACTGCTTTTCACTAGAACTTCAGGAAATAACTCTTGGAAACAGTCACTAGTGAGCATATGATGATCATAATCAAAGAGAGGTTTTGTGGAGATTATAGTAATTTAATAATTGAATTCATGAGTCAATAAAAGCTAGACCACTAGTACTTCCAGGTTTCTTATAATAGTTTAGCTTCAATTGTCTCGTGAATTCAAAAATAATCTTGATTTCAACTTATTGATCATTACAACTACATAGTCATGTTCTTTTTTTTATTGTTTCTCATCGAAGAAACGAAAAAAATCATACATAACACTAACCATATTAACAATACACTTATGCATACAACAATACAGTTTGTTTGTTTTTTCGTTGAAAAGAAAAAAGAAAACCTAAATTGAACTAATAAAACGTAAAATCAAAAATCAAAAAAAAAGAAACAAACAAAAACAAAACAACATTCAAACAAAACTGATTGACAGATATAATAAAGAAATAAACTTCCATTAGATTTTGTTTAAATAATTTGAATTTAATATTAATAAACAAATAAATGCATTACCATTAGTTTGAGTTCAAATGTGAATTTTTTTTCTTTTTGAAGAAAAATAAAAAAAATCCATTAAAAAAAAGGAAATAAGAAAACAATACTGTCAAATAATATGAACTGATCCTAAATTCAACAATACCATATAACTAGATTAAATTAGTAATTATTAAAATAGAATAAGAAGAAAACTAAAGAAAAATTTTTTATTTATCATTGAATATTGATTATTGATCAATTTAAATTGTACCGCTCTTTTTAAAAATTGAACATTCTGACATGATGCTCTTATATTTACATAGCTTATAACACAAATTATTGAAAGAGAGAAAAAAAACCAATTGAACAAAACGAGTAATAAAAACAATATTCATACTGATTGATTAGATAGTAAGAATTAAAAAATTGAATCCCTGTCATATGAACTAAAGAACAAAGAGAAAATGACAAGAAAAAAATAGGCACCAAAAAAGAAACTATGACAACAACTATATATACATATATATATATATATATATATATTTTGACAACATAAAAACACAACTATTATGAATGATGTAATAAATGAGTAAACAATAATAATATGTAAAATAGATTTATTTAACAAATTCATTTACTTGTTAGGGAATATATAAAGCTCTTTTTGTTTTCTCTCAGAAAATACCTAAAATACAATTTATAGTTCTATTTATTTCTTATTAGAGAAAAAAAATGAAACGAAAACAAAAAAAAAAACAACAACTGAAGCTCAACAATTTTTATACGTTCATGTGCATGTGTTCTTCTGTTTAGACAAATATTCCATAATGAATAGCAAAAAAAAAGAAACAATTGACGAGATGATAATTTATGAACGAACCAATCAGGTATAAGATAACAAGTCTCAGAGAGTATAATTTATGGATGAACCAATCACATATAAGATAACAGATCTCGGATTCTAGAGCCAAATTCATCCATTTATTTGTCTAAATAGAGTTTTTTGTCATTATAGCTGATATCAGTTTGTTGATGAAAATCCTAAATCTAATTTTTAACCTTAATCATTAAATATAAATCAGAATTTTAATTCTACACACTGGATGATAAACATCATTTAATCCTAGTTATTAGGTGACTTTAGCGTTACTCCAACGTCGTCCATAAATCATCATTTTATTAGTTTGAATAACTTTCTTTATGTATTTCTCTTGTTATTGTTGTTGTCAAAATGTAAAAAAAAACTGTATAGCATGTATGAAATTGTAGATCTACACCATATAACAATACAATCAATCAATATTGTAAAGAAGAAAATACAAGAGAAAAAAAAAGAAAAATAGAAAATAAACAATCAATTTATATCATTTAAATTTTGAGCTAAATTGTGCCAATTCATATAAACAAATTGGTATAAGTGAAAAACAGTATGAATCTATGAATTACATTCCTGAGAATATGGATATACATCGAAAAACATACTAATAATTTATATTTTTCTATGAAAAAAAAACTAATATATTTTTTTCTTTTTAAATGTTCCTTGTTATGTTATTATCTAACGCAATAGATTGAGATCGTTTTATAGATTTTAATAAAGATTTACAAGAATATTCAGAATGATTGAATGGTATTAAAGGTAATGAAATACTATGAGATGATATTATTTTATTTGTAAATAAATCATCTATAGATTGATGAATACAATTCTGATAAGAATGATTTAAATGAATTGATGGATGATTTATACCATGATGAATATTAACATTCAATGGATTATTTGTCATAGTAACAGAAGGATTAATTTTTCTATTGTATATATCATTAGAATTAGATGTATAAAATGTTTCAGATTGTGTTAAATATAAATATAAATCATAATCAATTTGTGTTTTTTCATTAAATGGAATATCAATTAATGAATATGTATCAGAATTTATTAAATGATGATCATGATGATTTTGTACACGTTTATGTATATTACCTTTATGTAAACGATGTATACAATTTTGTAAACGTTCTATTGTACTAATTCTTCTAATATTATGTAATGAAGTAGTTTGTGTATTGAAATGATTTGATTGTTTTATACATTCTATATCATTGTCATATTTTTCTTCTTTATTTATATGATTATTAATCTATTTGAAGTAAAAACAAAATAGAGATATACAAATACATTAAATATAATAAGTTTGAGTTATTCCTATATAGATCGATGGTCACATGAGTAATAGGTACACAGAAAAGCTCGGTAGAAAAATTAATGTAATTCAATATATATATATATATATATATATATATATATATATATATACCTGGTTTTTATTCACCATGTATCGATTTGACAAGCATAATAACAAATAAGTCACAAGGATTATAAGCAAAGATGGATGGTGGTTAGCAGTGGAATCCAAGACGCACGTTTTCACCTATCTTAGGACTTGTCTACCAAATATGCTTGTATTCGAGTTGATGTTCACTACGGGACTCGAATTCAGTACTGTTCGCTAAAAACCCAATCACATTCTCCTGGAATAAACATCAACTTTGGGATGTAAATGCATCTGGTTGACGAGTCACAAAATAGGACGAAACGTGCATCATGGATTCCACTGATAGCCATTATTCATCTTTGCTTATAATGCTTTTGGATTAAGGATATATTGAGGCAATACACACAGTATGCACATATTCCAATAAGAGACCGATCAATTGCAGTCTCAAATGTCAATAGGGAAATTCAAACAAACAATACAAATAATTACAAAGAAACTTAAATCCAACTTACTTATTAATACAACAATGTAAAAAACACATTGTTTCATGAAGGAAAACTTAAAGGAAAATTTAGTGAAGAAAGTCTTCGTTTCGACGCTGTTGTTTACTTGAGCTATACAATCACATGTATAGTTAATTGAAAAAAAACAATAGTATAGTAGTCTATGATAAAGGCTTATTGAGTCATTCAAAAGTTATCATGAATAAAATAGTATTGTATCATACGTTGTTTAAAATATCAAATGGAAGTTATGCAAAGAAAATGTTTGGATAAAAGTAGTTTATAGACGAGAATGATAGTTGTCCACTGTCACGTCTTTGATATGTCTACCCACTTGTGGTGCTGAGGATAACTTATCTAATCTAGATTAAAACATTGACGCAATAGACTAACCAGCTTAACCTTGAGGCTAGTACGCGTGAGTTCTAGCTGGGGTAGAGAGAAGAAAACTATTCTATCACCTGATTGGTTGACAAGCACGCCAGTGAGAGAAGACAAGTCAACTGGAACACAACTCGATTTATTCCCAATACCGATCTGGATCCCGACTTCTCAGGTTAGTGTAAAAAGGTACATGAATAAATAGATGAATAACCCGACCACAACATATAATAATTAGGAAAATACAATCATGTCCAAAACTAGAGATGAGCGTAGAAAAGAGTACAAAATATTGTTTAAATTACAATAGCTTTGGAACAAAAAGAGCTATGGCAGTGAAACATACATCAAACGAAAGCTTATGATCTGTAGAATAGACTAAGGACAAAAATAAATATTAATGTTTTACAAGCTTTGAATTAAATGAAATAACGTCCCCCTAAAAATAGCTTCCGTAATTTGTCAAAGCTTCTTGTTTCTCTGTCCATATTATCCATTAAATGAATATGACGGACAGAATGATCATAAATGTTGTAATAGCAGTTAACTAATAGTTGTTAAAAAAATTTGGGAAAAAGTAAAAAGAAAACTATCGATTATTCTGAATGAATGATAAACATTGTATTCGTGTATTGATAATAATAATTTACAATGGTTGTTTTGATTAGCTTAGATTTCTTGTTGAACATAGAGATAGGATCTTTTATTTGACAAATTAAGCTTTTAAACTGGATTATGGTTATTTATGTAATACCACTTTTATTCTGGATCATTTTAAATTGAGCAACACCTATTTGATTTACAGACTACTATATTTCATATGTAAAACTTTTGACTACTTTTTATAACTATTAAATAACACATCAACTGTGTCTGCATAAGGTTGTGGATACTGTTAAGGTTCATGGAAATGATGAACTGATCAATGTGAGACTACCACTGAAAACCTGGAAGCACTAGACATCCATTTCATTTTAGTATGGGGCTCCTCAGAAGTGCGCAAGAAACCAGAAATCGTTAGTTTGATTCTCGCGTGCGGAGTCGTGGATGCCCATATCTGGAGAGTCCCCTACTAGTACAAAACACCCGTTTAGCGCTTTCAGGTTTTCAGTATTGACCCAACATTGATCCGTTCAGAAATTCTATGAAAACCAACTCTATATTTAATTATAGATTGCTATTTTTTTTCAAAAAAATTAGCTAAATACACGATTGTACTGCAAAGGTAAATAACATTATCGAAGAGAAAATTTCCTTTGCTGAAATGTCTTCCATTTTTTCCAACAGTATACTTTTGACTTGGCTTACATATTTCACATGATCAAACAATTGGAAAATGATACCATTAATAATACTATAATGAAATCTGAAACGACTGAAGATACAAAATTTCGCTCGTCATTCAAATCTTGACTATGTTTAGACTTAATTATGGAGCACAATTAAGAGAAGATTATGAATTGAATTTTCACATGCTTTATGTTATTCTTCATACAACAAACAATTGTCGAACAAATATTCCATTTAAAAGAGGAAAACCAAAGAATACATTGTGTCGAGAATTAGAAGCAGACATGAAAAGGATGAATGGCAACTGGAGACAATTGAAAAGAATTGCACAAGATAGAGTTGGATGTAGAACACTGGTGGGTAGTTTATGCTCCTTTATGAGGGGTCACAGGAGTAAGTAAGTAAGCAAATAATGATAAAACTGTTTCTGAGGAAACGATCTAACTCAATACCAAAACGTTTGCAATAAAACACAGATAAAATAGTTGATAAGATATCAGTACGATAACATGTTTGTAAATAATTTTGAATTAAATTTCCTTCCAACTTTAATTATTACTTATGCGTAAGCTAAACAATGTTGAATAATGATATGAATTGACAATTAAATAAATGAAATTTCACCTGTTGATGTGGTTTCAACCATTCAACTGGTAGTGTACGTTCAATAAATGGAAGTTTGGAACCAATTGTAGCCAATCGATTTATCCATTTAGGCAAAGATCGACCACAAAGTAACTGAAGAAAGCAAAAATAAAGGTATTTATTCAGTATATAAAAAACTTATTAATCTAGATAGGTTTAATGATATTATTCATACGTTCTGTCTCACAATTGCCGTTAACAAATTAGATCCTGACAAAAGCGTTCATACGTATTTATTATTAGTAGTATTATTGGCTTTATTCAATGTTATATTTTTGGTACAACATGGAATTCTTAGCACAACATATTTTAAAAAGTTTCTTTTACAAAAAAGCAACAAAAAAACTGAGCCCATGTGCACCATTGGTTTGGAATCAATGTTTTCCAACTTCTCTAGTTAGACCTTTCGTGTCCACCGACCCGGTTAAAGCATTGGACATTCGCTTTTCATACTCTTAATTTCGTAGACAACATCCCCGCCTCCAGAAGGTAGTGAGTAGGACTTCTCTGGCAGTGGCTGTATACGCGTGGTCATGTGAGAGCGTTTCGAGAAGAAGAGCAGACTCTCCCCATCCTCGGTCGTACCAGGGCATTTAAAGGACTACACATATTGCCACACCATCAATGAAAACAAAGTCTAATTGATCATTCAAACGAGTGAGAAAATCTACTACATTTTGGTGATCTAGGAAGGAAAAAAAGCTACAGTCACATGAATTAACATCACCACATACAATTGAAAGCAAACCATTGAAGGGAGTAATAGAAAATCCAGTGAATTAATCAACGAAAACAGATAGTGCAGATGATATGCAGTTTGAAGTCACGTAGATGTTGGTCACATAAATATAATTGTTTGTTCAAGTGTTTAAGACATCTTAAAGTTGAACAGTTGATAAAGTTGTTTGTAAACTTAAGACACGCAAAATCAAATCGACACCAGTTCACATTTACAAATGTAGCTACACCGCCACTACACTTGCTTGATCGATCATGACGATAAAAATTGAAACCTTATAGTGATACTAAACAATCGTCTCATAAGTCATCTAACCAAGATTCTTGGATTGTGATTATCCCACAATTACGATACATGTTTAGACTTAGCAAGAAATGAAGATAGTTCGCCTTGCTAATTAGTGATCGGCAGTTAGAAGTTAGCATTTGAGAAATCGACATATGATTAATGTTCATTATTTTCAATGCATATTATCAACCACCACGATATCTCTGAGTGTAAATTTTTGTATCTTGTACAGTGGTAGGTCGCAAACTTTTCATATACGCACTTGGATAGGTTATGCGAGTAATAGAAATAGTAATATGTTAAAACAAACAAAAATGTAACCTGTTGAAATATCTAGATGGTAGGCACAGGAAGTCTTGATATTCAAACAACCCACATTCGTTAGTAGTAGCCGCTTTCAATATTTCTCTGGCCGACTCGAAATTGTAATATCTGTATATTTATATCAACTTACTCCCTTACGCCTGTTACCCCATCTGGAGGAGCATAGGCCACCCACCAACACTCTCCATACAACCGTGTCCTGGGCAATTCTTTTCAGTTGCTATTCATCCATCTCATATCTGCTTCCAATTCCCGATGTAGTGTGTTCTTCGACATTCCTCTTTCCGTTTCCCTTCAGGATTCCAAGTTAGAACTTGCCTCATGATGCAGTTTGGTGATTTCCGTAATGTATGTCCTATCCACTTCCAAAGTCTCCTAATTTCCTCTTCATCTAGAAGCCGCTTTTTCCTATCCCATAGTACGTTATTGCTGATAGTACCCGCCCAACGGACATCGAGTATCTTGTGTAGACAACTATTTATAAATACTTGTACATTTTTGATGGTTGTAATAGTTCTCCATGTTTCATCTACGTACAGTAGAACTGCCTTGACGTTCGTATTGAAGATTCTGACTTTGATATTGGTTGAAAGTTGTTTTGAGTTCCATATGTTCATCAACTGTAGGAATGCGGCCCTTGCTTTGCCAATTCTCATCTTTACGCCTGCATCCGATCCTCCTTGTTCACCGATGATGCTTCTCATGTACATGAAAGTTTCTAAATCTTCTAGAGCTTCTCCATTAAGTATGACTGAGTTGGTGTTAGCCGTGTTGTATTTTAGGATCTTGCTTTTTCCCTTGTGTATGTTGAGGCCTACTGATGCAGAGACTGCTGCTACACTAGTTGTCTTCATGTGCGATTGCTGGTGTGTATGGGATAAAAGAGCTAAGTCATCTACAAAGTTCAAATCGTCCAACTGCATCCACGCTGTCCATTGTATTCTGTGCTTTCCCTCAGATGTAGAGGTCTTCATAATCCAGCCAACCACCAGAAGAAAGAGAAAGGGGAGTAAGCAGACTTATCTGACACCGGTCTTCATTTGGAATGCATCTGTCTTCTGTCCTCCATTCACGATTTCGCAGTGTAGTCTGTCGTATGAATTCCTTATTTATTTATTTATTTATGGCTTTATTCAATATTATATTTTGGTACAATATAGAATTCTCAGCACAAAAATATTTCAACAAGTTTCTTTTACAGAACAAAAGAAAAAAAAACGGTTAAAAAAAAATCTGAAAAAAAAATCTCAAGTACATCATAGTGTTGAAGAAAGCTCCATAAGGTCCTCCTATCAACTGTGTTAGGAATAATACTTGCCCCACACATAAAATTGTGGAATTATCTTGAATCCACTCACATAAGAGAACATCTTTTACTTGTGAGTGACCAACTTTGTAATAATTCATTATTTCTTTTCTACATTGTTTATTGACTGTTAATATTCATTTACATAAATGCTTCTTATAAGTTTTGTAATAAATTTAAAGACTTGTACTTTTAACCCACCAATGATGGAATGTAGAAATATTCGACAACCAGATTATATTCTTTATATATGAATTCAATACATCCACACAAGCTGATCACTGACGAACTTAATAATATGTATTTAAAAACGATTGCAATGTAAGATGGTATATACTCTAAAGCAATCATACATTCTGAGTATCCAAACATAAGCAAAACATTTCTCCATTTGATATTATATTAGTAAACAGAATTCTTCGAATAGTCACTGTTATACTGGTTTGTTTTAATAGTGAATTATATATCCCCGAAGTTTACGCATATAATATATGATATTAGGAAACAAGAAGTAGAAAATGTTTTCTTACTGAATAAAATAAATCAATAACATAGAAATACAATGTAAAAAACCAACCTGAACAAATGTATCAGAGAAATGATTACAGTTTTTATTTAATAAATGATATTGATCACCACGATAATCTGTTGTTATACTCTCTAGTAATAAAGGAACGTCGGAAGCTGTAAAATCTGTATATCCCATGGATAGTGTCACTCTAAAAAAGATAATAACATGAAAGTTAACAATCATTTCCGATAGTAATTTCATTTAGTGTATCTATATACATTAATCTTAACAGTGAAACAATTGTAACTGGTTAGCCAACTGTTGTAGATAGAAAGTCGTAGCTGTTATGTACGTATCGATTCTGTTGAGTCTTTAGACTTACTGCTTATATTGGGAAACGGGAATCGCTACAATTCCCACAGTGCAAAGTAAAAACAGGATAGACTGGTGCAATGAAGTTTAATTGACTCTGAGAAAATACGTCTCTACACAATTCCCAAAATCACATCATCTTTAGACCATAATTCAATCATTTACATACCAAATTTCATACAAGACAATATCACATTAGAGGGAAGTATATAGAGTTACAATAGAAAAAAATAAATATAGTTCAGCTGAATCAATACAGGGAACAAGAGTTCAAACTTGTCATATAGAAAAAAGTTTATACCAAATTGATACAAGAAAATATTGACTTTAAGACGTCAGTGAACAAAGTTTGCACCTGTCACCATGGCCGAAATTTATAATGAATTCATGCAGAAAACATTACTAGACATGATAAAACTAATATAGTGAAACACGATCTGAGTTCGAACCCGTTATAAATTCTTTTATTAAGACCCAGTTATTCTTAATGCTTAGTCTTCTTGGACACTACCTTCACTAGACAAGTCACTAAATCAGAACACAGTCGGACAGGAACGTAATTATACTCCGAATAAACAAGGATGGATGGAAGTAGCAATCATAATAAGAAAAACATTGGTATATTTATCATTTTTACATAAGATCCTTTTTCAAGCACCTGTTACTGCTGGTTGATTAAAAATACCTAATCAGCGTGCCCTAACACAATCCTGCACGGAACATGTTTTAATCCAATCTATATCTCGCTAACAGAACCCATTCCCAAATACTTTTATATAAACAGTAAGAAGATTAGTCCTTATAAAAAGTGTGACCAAAAGCTGAGTAAATAAATCTATGCTTTTGAAATTAGTAATATTAAGTGGAATTTAACACATAGACAACAATTAATTTTCTGGAGTAATTTACAACACTCTCAAGGCAGCGAAGTTATATTAGTTCAAATATATGTAGAGATATTTACAGGATAAACTTAATTAGATACGTGATCCGTACTAACTGGTGAGTTCTACGTAGGATGCAGATACTAACCCAAACGAAATTTAAGCTAGAACAGAACTATAACTTCGACGATATGCACTAATATTTAAGATAAACTTCCCAAAAATTCTAATATAAAGTCAATAAAATTTGTAGAGATGTAGCAGTTCCTCAGTATTGCTTGTCGATGAGGATTGCAAAATAACGCTGACTGATAAGAGTCAAAAATTTTAAGCTGCTGGATTCCTATTCTGTTGTTCAAAGGAATATCGACATCGCTAAGATACTAAGATTCTGGAACAACATCATAATATGTAGGGCCATAAAAAGTCTACTGTTGAAGAGTTTCGAACTAGTTATGCATGCAAGTTATATAAAATTCCAACATAAAGAAGATAAGATTGTCCAATCCGAAATGACATATTCTGTAAGTGTGAGCAACACTCCTCAAGTTGTTCCGACTCAGGGGATTCAGTGTGCACATCACATATTCCGTTGAAATGGAACACATTAATTCAGTAAAACACTTTGGTGGAAGTCACAAAGCAAACATCGGATCCTCTGATATAGAACAGATGGAATTTGGCTGCTAGCAGTGGAACCTAGGACGCACGTTTTGTCCTATTTGGGACTTGTCAGTTCCAACTTGTATCACAACGGCTATGTCCAGGTAGTTTATTATTTATTTGAACACATATTGGTATAAAGGAGCACCGAATACATATGCGCCACACAAGTCATTTGATTCGTGTGTGGGCTGTGATACTGCCTGGGTGCCCAAACCGAAGCAGGTGGTTATCTTAGGGGGCCACACTTAGAGCCTTTTACCTAAAGGTCTGATCCACAAGGCATTGGAGCGACGTAAAGAAATGCACTCCCATGTTAGCCCGTTGCCAGTATTTGGTTCATACGCCACTTGTCCCCTCAGGATCCTGGACCTCATGTGCACCATTGGTTTGGAACCAGGGTTTCCCAACTCCCCTAGGTGAATCCTCCATAATGATACTCATTCACCAGGTATTTATGTACAAACCATATTTTAAGTGTAAGAGCTAATGATACTACCCAAACGTCCAAGGAAAGTAGGTGAAGCGGGTTTCGAACACGAGACCTAATAGATAAACATACAACGTCCTAATCACTAACCCACCGGTTTCACTTTTCTTGCGTACTTCTATCTCTAGTGGTATCTTTAGGCACTGCAAGATGTGTCAACCCGTATTGAAAAACTTGTATCATAGTGTAGTGAACGAGAACACCCAAATGGATCTTAATACAACATTACAAAATGTTTTGGTAAAATCTGAGAACAGTACAGTAGATACTTAATATGCAAAATATACATCAATTGTTGCAGACCTTGTCGTTTCTTCGTCCCTATAGCAATTAATCTCTCTTCTCTTAGATTTTCTCAACCTTCTGCCGCCAGGCATTCTACCTTCGATTGGTGATACATGCTACTTATTTATGTCGACATGAGTAGCACACACCACAATAGTACGTAAACACTGAGTTTTATAAACCATAAATAGTACGGGTTTAAGTTTCCCGTTATTGATATTCATGATTGGACTTTGAATGGTGTTTGCTGAAATACGTGCATTACATGCAAAGTGCCTCGATATAGCCGTCATGTCAAAATTTAGAACAAATGGATAACGCATTAAGTGCTTGAAGGTAAATGTACAGGATTCAATATAAAGTGGACCAAACAATAAAAATGATTTTCGAAGGAAATACATGAATGTGCACCAAAGACGGATAATAATTATTAGTTACAAAGGTCCATATATAAAGTGTTGTTAAAACTGAGATTTGAATCTAATCAGTGTCCTTTCGAAAATGGATACACTTTAAAAGTATGCTTTGATGTTGTATAACACTGAAATTCGGGAAGCGAAATCAGTTGTGTCTGAGACTTATCAATCGCATTTACCAGTAAGTAATCTGGCGTTAATCTCCACATTGAGACTTGGAAGTAGTATCCACTACCTTAAATATCAGTTATTCACTAGAACAGTGAACACCCAACAACTTGGTTAAAGGATATGATATTTAATATTAATTGTACAGATTTGTATTTTTCTCCTGTTGATATTCCGGATTGTATTTGATTAGTTTCTAATTGGTAGATGGACTTTGTAAAACTTTACGACAAATAATTAATATCATTCTTGTTAAACGAATCAGCAGTCTAGTGAATAATACTTCGGTAAGCTTTGAGCGGTGGGAAGCCATTTCCAGCCTTAACATAAATATTGTTGAGTGCCGCCCTCACGTCTTTAGAGGTTCAGGAAAATTTAAGAATACTTCATCCACTTAAGGTTCAATGAAACTTCCCAAATAGTTCCACATTTGTAGTTGAATAATTAATTTTGTTACTAAATTTATACTAGTTTTCAAAAAATCCTAGAATATCAAGTTCACGAATAAACTCATAAATATTCTCGTAAAACTTTCCAGGTTACCAGCTTTTTGTCTACCGTTAAGGGTTTAAGTGTAAGAGATTTCTGAGGTACTAAATACTGATTAGAAACCAGAGTTAAGGATTCAATTAACAGACTTAGCAAATATCAACACACGGACCAAACACGCGTTACAGATTCCAATGGTAATCATCATAAAATATATGAACAAGGGTGCCATGTATTCATAACTTGATTTAAACAAAATTCAGCTTTAGCATAAATATTCTTCAATGATGATCGCCTGGATGCTAATGAAGACGAATTAGATGTACAGAGTGTTCCTTGATTTTCAAATAGTTGTCTTTCCAGATGATAATCTTTAAACTACATGAATCTGACTAATTTTTAAATAATCACTCTCTATAATGGTAGAGAATATTTGTAACTCAACTGGATGATTTTGAACAAAACTCCATCAAAATCATTGTCATAGATACTGTGAGTACAAAATACAAAGTACATAATGAAACAAATATTCTGAATAAATCAACATTTAGAGACAAGAAAAAAAATAATACTAACTTGTAAGAATAATTTTCGCCTAAATAAGCAGAATCTCTTGGTAGCATAGAGAATACTCCAGAGTTAGTTAATGGATGTCCACCATATGAATATTCTATTACGACAAAATAACAATAATAATAAAGTACATTTAGCGATAGTGTGATTCTAATCAGTAATACTACTGAAATTAACATAATCCAATACAAAATAATTATACATACAATTATTTAGTACCAGATACTTTTATAAATATACAATATAGACAGAAAAAATTAACATTATATTTCAGATATATGTAAAGTTTTAGAGGAACCGAACTGTCTAGTGAATCTGAAACAATTGTAACAAAAGCAGCACTCAGGTTATCACTTATATGCTCTGATACCCGACCTATAAATATACCAAAAGTATAAAAAATAGGTTAAAGATCGAACGCTTGTAAAACGATCATATATAAGAGCTAACGATATAAATAGAGAAGGATCGAACAAAATCTAAGGTAACAACAACACTGACTGTTACAGAACAAGGAACATTTGCTTTTAAGAAAAAAAGCAAATACTAATCTACATTTCAATGTGTATACATCCGTCAGATAAAGGAACATATTAAAAATGTCTATTCACTAACTGGGGAAATACAAATATAATTTAAAAAGAATACATTTCAATGTTTGTAGGCGAATTTCGGTGAGAAAAATAAGAAAGATCGATTTCTGATTTTAGAAAAAGCATAATTGCCAACATAACTAATTTGCAATTTTGCACCCAAGAAATTTCATTTACAAAACAATGGCTCTCTAAACATGAATTCTTCATTAAATTTAAACAAACTACAGCTGAATGGGTGATAAACAATCATAATACATTATGACCTTGAAGTAGAACGAACTACTGTAAATGGGCGTTTCACAGGATAGGAAACACAGGTTTATTTTTCCCTGGTTATGATAATAAAATGATAATTTGGTTAGATTATCTGTCATCAATTTTACATGACACTAATAATCTAATGCATTGATCATCAATTGACTGATATCTATTATAAGGTCGTGTTTTAACCATATATTAATACTGAAAATGACATTTTTAATTGAAAGCCAAGACCGATAACAGCCTTTTCAAATCATTCATAGCTATCAACTGGACTACTAAATCGTAATGGTTACATTTTGTACGAACACTTGTTAAGGAATACAATAGCCCATTTTTTACCATTCAATCAGTCAACAAACAGTCTGGTGACAGATGTGGATTGGCTCAAACTGTTATATCATATCAGCACGATGAGATGAGATGAACAAGATGAATAGTGAAAGCAGTTTAAAAAGAGGTGGATAGTAGTGGAATCCAGGAAACGCGACTCGTCATATTTTGACTAGTCTGTTGAATGAACCTGCATCCCGCAACTGATGTTCCATCCGGGACTCGAACCCTGTACCGTTCGCTTCAAAGCCATCATGTTATCCACGTAGCTACCAAGTCCAGATAGTCACTGGCTTCTATAGTAGCGTGGATTTGAGGCGTACGTTACTGTGTTAGAGTCCTGGGGTGAACATGAAGTTTAGGATGCAGGTACATTCAACTGGAGAGCCCCAAATAGGACGAAATGCGCTTCTTCGATTCCAGTAATAAGCACCATCCATAATGCTTAAAATACTTGTAACTTAATTGCAATATCCAGGAGATCCAAACAGAATCGAAATATGTCAAAATAGGCTGAATGATTATACCCCTAAACATCAATAGGAGGATCCAAACAACCAATATATATATATATATATATATATATATATATATATATATATATATATATATATACGAATAGCAAAAGTGATAGAAAATGTCTCAGAAATGATAGTGATAAGGAATAAGCACTGAGAATCTGGTTTAAAAAGATATGGTTTATAGGTATGTATGACGGAATGCTGAGATTCCATATTGAGGAAATAAAGTGTGAATGCATCTACGCCATTGTCTGAGCCATATCATCCAAAATCTTCAGCGATTGATTACAATTATCACGCGAAACCCAACCAGGTCATCGGCATGCACCTACATAGCTCAGGACAAGAGTCAGTGACTTCATGGACTGAATTCATATTTTAGTTTAGCCAGTTCTAACTTTCATTCAACTTACCTCTACACCAACAAATGTCGCTCGTCGAAGTAGACAGAGGTTATGCATGGATACCACATGTCCTAACCATTTGTACCAATCAATATGTACAAGCTCATCAAGCGGTTTGGTATCTCGCCGACAAAATACTCCATCCCTAACCTCAATGTTACTCACTTAAGTACAAGATACTAGGCAAAGATGTCAAATCAGTCGATTAATTTATAAATGTTCATAAAAAGAGGTGGTTAAGACATATGTTAAGTATGTGTAACCACCTGTTGCTATGCGAGCGCTGAGTCAGAAATTTAGGACCTAAGTTCTCTTTTACATGGAATGCTTTATTCTACGATTTTAAAGGTTTAGAAAGGGTTAAATTTTAAAATCACCTAGATGCAAGAATATAATATTTCAATAACGAGCATAATGGTATGCAGGAAAAAGTATATAAAAGTGTTTAAATGAGATATACTGACGATGTTGAATTTTACAATGGGAAAGCATCGAAATTTCACACGTCATTTAAATTCAGATTTAGTATTCTTAGATCATTTCTCTCACAAATACAAATGTCTTTAATTATCGCTTGTAGTACTAAGAAATGTGGTAATTTCAATGACTTTATTTTGTTTTTGTTCTTTTGGTCACATTCTCAGTTGTATTTACTAGTTTATTGCAGTATAATGTCATACAAATATGAACTAAATAAACATTACACATTATAAGTGAATGAAAAACAAAGATGTTAACACTTACCAATTCCATGAACTACAACTCCTGTATGATAAACTCCAATACCAAGAGAACTAACGTAATCATTTATCCACAACTATAAATTAAATATGGTTATAAAACATTCATTAAACAATAAATCAATATCCATTAGGGGGAGAAGAAAAAAAAGTTATGTAACAGTCTGGCATTGGTTATGTAATCTAATCACGAAACAATCAAAAGAATAAACAATAAAAAAAACGTAGGAAACGATAGGAGATAAGGCTTGTTATAAATGACAATGATAACCCAAGGATAGAATAGGGTTTATTTCACTAAAGGATAACATGCTTACAGTATATACTGAAGAGCATAAAACTTATAATCCTTACAAATCATCCTGGAGATATGCCAAATATGTCGAGTTAATGACTTGTGTATCTAATCGAATCAATTACGAAAGATGAAGTTATTAAAATCTGTCAAAGATACTGATTGGTTGGTGAATGTTTTGAACAATTATTTTGTGGAAATTTAAAAAGAAAAGAAACTTTTTGTAACGGTATTGAAGTTATGAAATTAGTAAATGGAAAATAATATTCTACTAATTATAAATTATGCAAAGTCCAGAACCGACTATGAAAAATATATATAAAACTTAATTAAGTAGTATGATTGAGACAAGAAAACAAATTTTAAGAATAAATAACATAATAATACCGAAGCAAGATATTTAATATCAATTTATTATGAGAAGGAGGATTTTGTAGAGATTGTAGTGATTTCAATAGTTGAATTCATGAGTTAATTAAAGCTAAACCAAAATGGAAAATTTGGAAGCATTGGATGGTCGTTTCGTCCTAGTATGGGACTTTTCAGTAATGCACATCTATAAATCCAAGTTTTCGATGATGGTCTAGCTTTAATTGACTCATAAATTTAACTATTAAATTACTAAAATATTCACAAAACCCTCTTCTCATAATAATCACCATCTGATCATTAGTGATTGACTTCAAGAGGTATTACTCGGAGTTCTCAGTCAGTCAGCTAAAACGTAGGACCAGGCAAATACATGCACCGGTCCAAGTAGCCACATCTCATTAGCACAGCAAGACGAACACCGTATTCATAGAAGCAATTAACTCCATGGTGTAATATATAAAGCAAAGATTGTGTATAAGGACATAGTACAGAAAGAAAGAAGTAGTTGGTAGAAAAAAAGATATGAAGCGATTTTAATCTCATAGTTTAAAGGAGGACAAAAAGAGTATACAACGATGCCATTGTGATCGATTCTGAGCCATGTCACACACAGTCTCCAACCATTGGTTACGATAGTCACGCCGACTCTAACCAAGTAGTCTGCATCTGCCAACATGGCTCAGCCTACAAGTTAGCGACTTCAAGCACGGATGCCACGTTTTGGTTTGACCACCCCTAACTTTCTTCCAACCATTCCCAACACTAGTCAACATTGCACGTCGTGGTAATCGGTGTTCAGGCATACGTAACACGTGGCCCAACGGTCTCAGTCGATGAAGATTCATAACCTCATCAACTGATTTACCATCATTCCCTAATACCCTGCGTCTAAACTCACTATTACTTACCCGGTGGTCCCCGTATCTGTGGTCAAATACTAGTAGTTTACGAATATGTTCTACCCATGATAGCCACGTTTCGCAGCCGTAAAGTAAAACAGAACGAACTGCCGCACAGTATGCTCATCCCTTAATTGATAGACGGATATCTCACCTTCACCATAGATGAAGTAAGTTAGCAAAAGCCAAACAACCTTTTCGAATCCATGCAGAAATTTTGTCAAACACCAGCCCATTTGAGCTGATCAGACTTCCAAGATAAGTGAAGTTGTCAACGCGTCCCTGAATCCTAGTAAGAAGCCATGATTAGTTGAGTTCAACAAGATCTGTTGTGAGATACTAACTAACTGAAGATAATGGTGGACGGTGGCGAAATCTTGCGGATTGGTTGAAGTTAAACATTAACACCGTTGGACGCCTGCTCAGTGGTCTAGAGGTTAAGAGTTCACAAGCGAGACCGACAGATCCTTGGTTCGAATCCCACGGACAGGATCGTGGATGTGTATTGCTGAGGAGTCCCATACTACGACAAAACAACCATCCTGTGCTTCCAAGTTTTCCATGGTGGTCTGACTTTAATTGACTCATGAATTCAACCAATTTATTTATTGAAACTTGAAATTTCAAGACAAACGATTCAATTCATTTACTGAATATGAAATAACATATATGATCAAAATGAAATTGATCATTAAAGTTCAATTAGTAAACTAAATGATCAACTTAAGGTAGATAAATTTAATTATAATCAAGGTTAAAAATGTCACAAAAAAGAACTTAAATCAATTAAGTTTAATTATAAAAGTAAATAGGATGAAACAATAGTCTACTATAAAGTTATTTTAGTTGTGTTTACTTTATTGCTTCTAATGTAAACTAAAAAAGAATAGGCATTATACACACCCTTAATTTATCGCAAATTGACGATCAATTCAATGTAAGTGACATAATATAGTGAATTTTTCTTTTAAAAAAAAAGAATAATAATTGAGAAACACTTTGAATAGATGCTTCTTTTAAGTTAAAGAATGTTTAATTATGAAGATCTATCGAAGTCAACTAAGAATTTATGAAGTATTTATAATATTATCTAATGTTAGGTTAATGAACTGAGATTCAATAGTTTAGTTTAAATGAGAAATTGTGCTAGTATTACAAATTAACTGATCTAGGAAAAGAAAACAAATGATATTAGGTTCAATTAAAACTTGATGATTCAAGAGTAGGTGGAGTATTCATTACAAAAAAGTTCTAAACTAAGATAAAACAATCATTCATCTGATAGGTCCTGGGTTCGTATCCCGCAAAGTTGGGTCGTGGATGAGCACTGCTGAGGAGCCCTATGATAAAATGAATTGGCCGTCCAGTGCATCCAAGTTTTCCATAGTGGTGTAGCTTCAATTAAATCATGGTATCAACTATTGAAATTACTACAATCTCCATAAAACCCCTTCTGATACTAAGCATTTAAATGCTTGATTCTTGGTTTTTTCTAATTACTCCTCTCCAAGTGGTTAATGACCAAAACTAATTGGAAACTATTTAGAATTATTGAAAAAAACCCTCACTTAACCTGAATATATTTATTTTAATTTGCTTCAATAATCTAAATAATATAAACTAACTGTCATAAATTTCATATACAAGTGGGGTTGTTTTGTTTATTATTAGAAAATAGAGTACAAGCCATTTTTTCCAAAGCTTATCTATAAAAATTGATGACTGGGTTAAGAGATACAGAAGGAAACAAACGGAAGCATCAGGGCTATATATATATATATATATATATATATATATATATATATATATATATATATATATATATATATATATATACCAAAGAAACAGTCATAATATTTTGCTTAATTTCAAGAAAACACTGATATCTTCATTATAATGATGAACAGTGTGACCTCCTTTTTGAATGATTGAAAGTTACACGAACATTGCTATGTAAATAAATCTACATTATCAATGTCTTTATTATTATTGTTACCTGACCCATAGAAGAAGAATTAAACGATACAAAACATGAATCATTTAATTTACACTGTTAATATTGTTACGGAGTTGAAAGGGTATGGTAAGAAAAGCTAGAAGCAGCTAATTTATGTTTAAAAATCAACTAAAATACAACTACCAGGTTATAGATTCACTCGGTATTATTTACTTGAATCTTTCCATCGACCTTTAGGACTGCAATTGATCAATCTCTTCGTAGAATATGTTCATCCTGTGCGGATTGCCTCGATATTGCCTTAAATCACAAGCATTATAAACAAAGATGGATAGTGGCCAACAGTGGAATCCAGGACGCGCATTTTGTCCCATTTGGAACTCATCAGTTGGATGTACCTGCACGGGAAGGTTCAAGTAAACAATACCAAGTGAACTTAAACTTCACCCCATCGCACAAGCAAGTGGTTATCTGGACTCAGTAGCTAAGTGGATAATGCGATGGTCTTTAAGAACAACGGTACTGGGTTCGATTCCCGAATAGGACGAAACGCGCGTCCTGAATTCCACTGCTAGCCACTAAATATTCGCTTACTGGGTTGTAATTTCTATCTTTGTTCCATCTGATTCAGCTTGAACAGCCAAATCGTACAATCGAGCCTATAAACACGGTGCGACCTTAAGACTAGTACACCAGAAAGTGTACTTAATTATTTGAAGTTACATAATAAGAGAAACTAGAAAATTCATGTGACAATAGGTATAATATTAGACAACTTTAAGCGTTAAGTGCTTAAAAATGCCATATTGTAGAAACTTTTTTATTTATTAAATTCAGACTAAAATCATTCTACCATACTATTCAAGTAATAACTGAACCAAACATTGAATATAGAATGATGCATATAATCAATGACCAAAAAATCCGTCCCTACACTAGGTGTATACTAATTACGAACCTATCAATGTCCAACTAGATCTGCGAATCAAATAAGATGACTTCTAGTTGATAGTTTGACTAATATTGAAATATCTTGATCTTGTCAGAGTATAATAAACACAAACTCTGTGGTTGCAGTTTGATCTTAAACAACAAGACAAAACGATAGTCGTCAACAAAAAAGTAGAGCTTCTGTTACACAGTTAAGTTGTTTTTGGCTACATATGTAACATCACTCATATTTTCAGACTAAGCTATACGTTTGCTCTTAGCGAATATGATTTTTCTGACAAGCGAAAAATGGCGTTCAATAATGGTATTTGTTACACATTACATGTTGGCATTTTAATGAACTAAAGAGGTCATATATAAAATGTTCGGACTACTTAATTGACTGATTTAAATCTTACCTAATATACCATTGATGAAACCACATCTAGTGTACTCAAGAAGTTTGTCACAGTTTTAAATTATTTTTAACAAGGCCGTATGAAGCTAATGACATATATGTACAGCATCTTACGAGTAGATTAGGTTATTTCAGTGTAGATATAGGCATCCTGGTTACAATGCTAAGATTAATCATAATATGTGGACACATTGAGCACAGAATGTTTCTTATCTTTCTCTTAATTTTAAGCTTAGCATTATCCACTTTTATCATCTTTAGCTTCCCACTATAATTATTATGATTCCACCTTACTTGTTTCCGATTATGTTAAGTTGATCGATTTGCTGAATTAGATGTGACAACCTGAAACAAGTAGACTAGTGTTAGGTCCTATATTATTAATACTTAGCTGATAAACATCTAACTACCAAAATATATCAGTAGTATTGTTAAGGCTTGTTATATATACTCACAATACGATTAGTATCGGTAATTTAAGAAAATAAACCAATATGATTAATTTTCGATTTTTATTATCATTATTTTTCTATCGAAACTAACATTTTAGGTAACTTCAGGTACATTTATACACAGTTAAGAGTTGTGTAATATACAATATCAAACTGAAATAATCTTTTATTAACGATATTAATACATGTTATTTTATATATACTCGAAAATCTGTACTGATGTAATTCAATGAATAGACACATTATAAGAATGTGTTCAAGAGCAAGCATTACATATATTATGTATTCCGTGTTGAATAGGTTTGATGTAGTAAAGTTTAAAAACACAATGGAGATTTTAAAATTGTTCAACTAATGACCGTCTCCTGATGCAGTGAACAAGAAAGCCAATGGGGCCAATCGAATGTATTTAAGCATATGATTACGGAGCATCTCAATAAAATCTGAGAACCATATATTAAATCGTTAATTTGCAAAATATCAATCCATCATATCAAACTTGACTATTCCTGTTGCAAACATCAATCCATTGTCTCAGATTTCGTTGTTCATGCATTTTCATACGAATTACGTTTCGTTCCCGTTCTTTCCTCATCGACGTTCTACTGAAATACATTCTATGCCTGACCACCGTCATATACTACTTATGTCTACATAAGTAGCACACACCACACTGATAGATAATAAAAACATTGCAACCAAGGTACTCAACATAATCAAATTAATCAATTTACTAGACATAACGGAATGGTACTGAGTTGTTTATTTAGTGATCCTTATAATCCAACTGATAGTTTGTACCCACATTATTCGCATTAGTGATTTCCATCAGACTAACTCTTTGAACAAGTTCCCATATTTTCATATGTGACAATATAAAAATTTATGGACCACTTGTTAATATTTACTCTTCGACTCTCATTTTCCCATTATAAATGTCTTGATGCATCAACATACGTAGACAAAGAAAGATAATTCAATTTTACATAAGCATTTTCAGTCAAAAACTCCAAGCTTGACTAGGATGAATTAACTCCCCATTTTATAAGTATTAACTGACTGATTCTATAAGCTTCAAAGGCTAATTATACCTTTTCTGAGACTATATTTATTGAACATAATTGTTTGTTTGAAATTAAACAGGTCATTTCAATTAAATGTATTTTAAACAAGACAATTAAACCACTTACATTGAAGCGGATTCTGAAGTAAATTATACCAGGAAACTATCAAGACACACCCATTTAATTAACTTATGAGGAGATAAGCTAAGGGCGAGTTTGTGAGCATAAGATGAAGAATCTATACATTAAGTGGAAAAATAACCTTTAAAATTCTAGTGCCAAATTAAAAATGTGTGCAGAATATAACAGTGAATTCTCAAATGCATTCTTAAAAATAAAGAACAAAATAACTTGGATCTAGTACACAACTCTATAGTATATAATCAGAGAGGGATTTTGTGGATATTACAATAATTTCATAGTTATATTCATGGGTTTATTGAAGCTAGACCACTATGGATTATGAACGCGCACTGCTGAGTCCCATACTAGGGCAAAAACGACTGTCCACTGCTTCCAGGTTTTTCATAATGGTCTACCTTCAATTGACTCATGAATTCAACGATTAAATTTCTACAATATATGCTTGGATTTAGAAAAGTTACTAGTCTCAATTCCCATGAAAATCTATATTGATTTTCAACTATTATATAAACTAATCCCTTTTACTAAATAATTGTGTTGGGAATGATGAGTCTTAAAACACAACATTTAAAAGAAATTATCAATAAATTGGCATATTGATTTTGTTTGGATCTTATTGATTAATTTTCAATGAATGTTTATTTATATTGATTTATTTAATATGAGATGTGTCGTTTGATTTGAATGTATTTTTTATTCTTTTTTTTAATAAATTCATTGTAATTTTGTGTTCAATTAGTGATTGCTTATTTAGATAAGTTTCATAATTCATATTTATTAACTAAGCACTAACAACCTACGAATATTAAGAATGGTAGATGTTAGTGTGTTACTAACTTGATCATAGGTGCCCCCAAATGTCCTGGTATGGTTGAGAGTGAGGAGTCCACTCACCCTCTCGAAATGCTCTCATATGGCCAAGCGTATATAGCCTCTGCCAAGGAAGTTCTACTCACTGCCTTCTCGTGGCGGGGGTGTTGTTTACAAAATTAAGAGGACGAAAAGCGAATGTCCGGAGCTTTAACCGGCTTGGTGGACACACAGAGTTCACCTAAGGGAGTTGGAAAACCCTAATTCCAAACTAATGGTGCACATGGGGTCCAGTACTCTGATGGAACAAATGGTGTATGAACCAATCGTTGGTCATCGGCTACCATGGGACTGCATCTCCTTACGTTGCTCCACTGTCTTGTGGATCAGACCTCTAGGTCGAAGGCTCGAGGTGTGGCCCCCTAGGAAAACCACCTGCTTTGGTTTGGGCACCCAAGCAGTATCACAGCCCTCACACAAATCAAAAGAGATTTGTGTGGCACATATATATTTGGTGCCTCCTTGTACCAATATCTATGTGTTAAAATAAATAATATAAATAATAAACCTACACTGTATAAGACTAACTGAATCATTGAATAATAGAAATATAATTGAATTAGGTTGAATGTAACTCGATTCTAGAGTCTTTATTAAGAAAAGCATGTGGCACATATGTATCTGGTGCCTCTTTGTACCAATGTTTATATGTTCAAATAAATGAATATTAAGGACAGCTCCTATAAAAACCTGGACATTTTTACTCTAGTTAGCAGCAAGGAGAAGATAGGAGCTATCTGGTTCGTCGTACTAAAGTCGGAGTTGCAAATAGTTAGCTCAGTGCACAGACGTACTACAATCATTCCATAACTAGCTTTTATTATGCGACAATCAATTTAATTTTGATGCATTTTGATTCTGAAACTGTATATGTACTCTTAATGTGTCTGAAAACCAAGAGATGGTTTAAAATTTTAAAAGTACTTAACTTATGATTACTAAGCCACATATTTGAAACTGAATCGACATGTTTTGATTCCAGTAATCAACAAACTTTCATAAAAGTTTTTAAAAGTTAAATGTGCAGACCAGTAGTTTGTTAGTGAATGGCACTAAACTTTTAAACAATTTTTTTGTATAAAGTTACGTGCTTTTCTACTGATTTTTTGAATAGCGATACATCAACTATATCTTATAAGACGTAAGAAACGTTTCCTTTGCTTTGAAATGATATTAAACTGGAGATGGAAGCATACTTAGTTTAAAAATCGAAAGAAGCCTTTGTTTCTCTAGAAAGATGATGGAACATAGACAAAGTCTAATTATTGTATACTATTTGTCTTCGAACAGATAATCTGGTTCTTAAACAGGGGTGAATGAACTTGAGCAATCAACAATATGAGATCAAATACAAGCAGTGTTGATGATTTTTCGGCCATTATGTGGTCTGATTAGTGTAGTTTTAAGTCAAAATGGCGATAAAATCTAACGGCGATTTTAAAAGAACAACTAAGCAGCGGAATCGATTTTGTAGCAGATTATATCGGACAAAAAACCATTAAAAGAGGTCTGAGATCATTTAATCCAAAAAACTGGTCACAAATTAGGGATTCGAAATGGTTCCTCGAAATACATTAATTACAACTTTCGGATGCCTAAAACCTATTGATTATCATTTACTAAAAGATGAGTATACCCACCTCTTGAAGTAAAATGTTTGTATAAAAACTGTTTCCTTTCATGACTTCTGGAAACATAAACCTATTATTTTCTTTACAACTAAATAAACACTGCATTTTTGTTGTCACATTTGTATTTGTCTCACTTAAAATAATACTATGACTGTTAGTTGGATGTACACTTAAGTAATACAACCACAAAACTACCAATGAAAGGATAATAAATATAAGAATCAATAGATATATTTTTCTTACCATATCATAGACATTGACAGTCACTGGCGTTGGAACGGAACTATTTGTCGAATGAGTTGTCAAACAGTTAGGTATAGTTGTGTTGGTTTCTGTTTTATGATTCTCCGATGTTGGTGTTTGAGTTGATGAAACACGATCTAATTTCATCCGCAATTTCTCCCAGAATCCCATCAGTGGACTCATTTTTTCCATTTGTTCATCTTTTTGGAAAACTATCCAAACAGTAAAACCTAAAATGATTTCGTATCAACCAATGCACATAACTAAAGAACATTATCTCCGTAATAAATAATAAATCTGAAGGTTCCTAAAGTCCTTACTAATTTTACAGTTCAGTAATCAAAAACTCTGATTTATGTTTAAAAAAATGCAACCTTACTGGAGTCAAACTTGCCACCGACTCTATCCACAATTTAAGCAGTAGAGATGTGAGACGAAAATAGATTTTGACAAATATGATAAAGGCACTACTTAGCATTTAAAGCATTACAACCTCCTTTGAATAAAAGTACCTAAACGAATTGGTCCATTGGTTCCAATGCACACTAACTAAAACTTCGCTAGGTAGAACTAGTGAATTATTTGTTTCTTGAGATCTGCGGCTGGGTAACGAGCGCATTCTTGGCTACAAATATGTATAATTCTTGCTATATTATTTCTAGAAACTGAGGGACAAAACAATTTAATTAATAATAGAGTGACTGAGGAGTAACACTTGAAGTAGTCATCCTTAGTATTTATAGAACTAAAGTAATCGTAAATCCTCCATTTGGAAGATTAGGCAGAGAGTGATATCACTATAACTTACATCACTGATCCGAACCGGGAAAATTTAGAATGATAGGTCTAGCAAACAAAACTGTCATTAAAGTGGGCGGATGGTTAAGATATTTCTGTGATTTTACAAGGCATTCACTCAATTGTGGTCCACTAACCAAGTAGAGAGCAGGCTTATGAGAACCACTGAACTTAATATGAAAAGGTTTTGTCTTAATGATGGTACAACTGTCCCACAGATATGGCGATGATCTTGACATTAATATTTTTTATCCTTTTCTTTTGAGATTGTTAATTTGAGAGGACATTCTAAGAAAGTTCAAAAACCGAGATCAAATAGTTTACACCTCTAGTTCCGTTTCTCGCACTAAATAGTGAATGACTGAAATTTTCTACCACAACACGTAATATCAACATCCTCTGTGGATACGTTTAAAGCAAGGCCTGATCTTGACAGTACTACAGATTGAAAGGATTAATATGAATCGATTGACCTATCCTGACAACCGGAGACTGAAATATTAGCTACTTAGCACATATAATGTTAGAGTAAGACCTTCATATCCCTTTGATATTCCCGGGCAAGCAAAAAATTTTCAAACCCAATACGACTTAGGAACAATAAACAGACGGAGATTCCATGCGTGAAAAAAGATCTGCACTATACTCATGAGAAAAGGCAATACAAAAAGCAGTAAACGCGGATACATGTCAGTTTCCAGAAGTCTACATAATCTTTAATGATTGTAGTATATGAGAAACTGCTCCCTGATTCCATTTTATTGACAAGAGAGATTACAATAGTAAGGAAATATAAGAATAATAGGACAACATATTGTCCTTTCATATATAAAAGTTATGTGATGTTAACTACGCTCTTCACTAGTTTTAGTGTCATAGGCTTTCAATTTTACACCAATTTTCGGGAAGTATCGTTAAGAAACATTTTTTTCTCATTTTATTGTGGAGAATCATATGATTCTTAATATAAACTAATGTGCACATTGATATGCAATGAGATACTTTTCCATCGCACTAATTACAGTAGCTACCTGTCGATACCTATTTTTCAAGAGTCTCTTTGAGAGTTTGAAGTCTACTTACACACTAATTGGCTGCTTCGATGAAGACAAAAAACATTTTATTTACTGAACGGAATCTTGTTCCATTCTCAAGGTTATTCGGATTTCAAAAATCGCGCAGAATCCAAATTGTTACGGCAACTAAAATGGTTCAAATGGTTGTGGACGGAATAGAACAAGATTTCACTTAACGGCTTCCGTGTCTAGTAGCAAAGGATCACTAATACCCTCAACCAGGAACCCACGTATATTAACGATGATAGATGAAAAAGAAATTAGTAAATCATAATAAGATATTATCATAAGTTCTTATGAATAGGTCAAGTTTCCTCTTAAAAGACTCCTGGAAAGTCGCTTGGACTAGCTCGGCCGGCAGCGAATTCCAGCATTTGACAACTCTTAAGGAGTGGAAGTTGTGTCCACAGTCTGTTCTGCTATGTTGTATCTCCAGTTTCTGGGTGTTAACTCTTAAGTTAGTATTGGGACTACGCTTAAGTAGGCGTTTAAGAGGATGTCCAGAAGTGTTAAGGATACTGTAAGCCATCAGAAGGTCATCTTTAAGACGCCTATATTTTAATAGGTAAAGGTTAAGTGATTGGAGACGCCCTTCATAAGGCTTAAATTTGATCACTGTTGGATACGTTCCAGTGCGTCCCTATCCTTTTGCATTGAGGGAGAAAATACCATGTTTCTGTACTTTAAATGGGGACGAATGCAACAGTTAAAGTCTGTGTGGAAAGTTCTTCCATCAAACTGGCCAAAAATGGGCTCACACGTTACCAGTGCAAGGTTTGCTCGAAAGGTATTTTTGTCACAGTTGACATAAGACTTCAAGTCACAGGCTGCCAGCGCTCCTATAGAGGGGTCATTTAGGTTGTTGCTGTAGTCTGCAACATGTCTTGGATGAACGACTTTACACTTTGAAGTGTTAAAGGTAAGTCCGTTGTCATCTCCTCCTGAAGTGCCAGCACACACTCTTGGTTGCGTATTCTCCGCAAAGTTTCACATCATCAGTAAACATTAATGTCATATGGTACCTGTTGTGGAAGATCGTTTATATAAATCAAGAAAAGAAGAGTTCCTAGTACTGAACCCTGAGGGACCCCACTAAGACATTCCATAGATCCAGTGATCTTTTTTCAAAGTAAATCAAAAAACTGGTGTAGATCATTTATAGAATGTGAAAAGGCAACTGCATATTAAGTACGTTTATGACGAGATAATGTAGGCCGAATTCAAGACTTGAGGTGAATTCGAAAGGCTAAAGGTAAAGAAAAGTTATTGAGTTAATTAAACAACTAATTAAATAAAAAAATGTGCTAGGACGAACAAATAACGAAGATTCGCGACGGGCGAAATGGATAAGACAGATAGATTATAATAATAATAATAATAATAGTAGCAGGAATCATAATAATATTTTTTTGCTCAGGTGAAGATAGATAAGGTATAAGTCATGCATCAAGCTTAATAACAAGTTTGAGGTTGTTTTTCTATGTTACTGTATTCAACTAGCAGCTGTTTCGATGCAAGATGGTGAATAGTGAGTGAGTACCTGATGATCGAGCTATCTTTTACAGACACTAACCGATGGGGCGATAGATACGTTAGCAAGGAGGGTAAACATGATAGGACAGATACATGGTAAGGAAGAGTTTGAACTCACCTTGGTAGTTGCTCTTGAATTTGCAGCCCATAGCCAGTAACTTCATGGCACACAGTGGTAGATATCAGATAAAAGGTTTTGCTGGAATGACCTGGGGTGACCTACATCGTGTACATACCAGATGGCCTGCTTTTCTAATATATTCTAACTAGAATAGTTTCAAGTCGTAGTCACTACTCGCATTATCCATCGCTTAATCTGATCATATGTTTGTTGTACTTGTTCTAAGAAGTTCGTAAATTGTTTAAGCAGAGGTGATGTAACAATATCGAGATTTGCATACTTATGAGTTCAGGTCAATAGAAAAGTGAATGAGAGCACACAAGTCTTTTATCAAGCTTTATAAACAATCAAAATTCAAGCAACGATGGGCAATAAATGCTTAAATTGTCACACGGGATCACTCATTACTGATTAACGAATCCATATATGCTTAGAGGTACAGGTAAGTTATCAAACCGAAATCTCACTGCTTATTTGCAGAATAGCTTATTTGAAGGCCTTAATCTGAACGTACACACCCTCGTGTGAGGGCGGAGTACTGTAATGCACCCTCTCACAGCCCTGCGATCTGAACAGCTGCAACACAAATGCGGAATATTCTTGTTCTGCTATAATATCGACCTCGTAACCAAGTTACATATGATTTCACCATGGTCAATAACCCCTAGTGTTGGTTAGGTCTTCAAGTTCCCCTCAATAAAAGTTGTTGGTAGTATATTTTTGGTGATTCAACACCCACTCACCATCTTGAATGGTGACCACTTTGTCCAGAAGGCCTCCCATATGTGTTTCTACTTCGATATGAAACATGTACTCCTAACTGAGACTTGGTTCACCTACCGACTTCACAGAAAGTCAGTTAAGCATGCAAATTATAGCATGTCAGATGTGATGGAAATCAAAAAGTACGAGGTAGAGTGACGATATACAAGGAGGTACTTGAGAGTAATCTTGCTCCCAACTTTTCGAGCTGTTAAGCGATTCGGTTCATCAGGTTCCGTATTCCTCTGTTTGAGTAACTTTGTCGTGTCGTTTGCAAGTGAGACAATTTCAGTATATCGTACATGCAAGCGTCACCTCAAGTAACTACATGTATCTTTCTAATAAATAAAATATATATCGTTTGTTGAGACCAGTTTATTCGCAACTATCTGGTTTAGAAATGAAAATTGTTGTGTAGGTCAATCAGTTCATATATTCTGCGGTGCTTCTCCTCATACTACTTTCAGATTTTAAGAAGTGAAATCTAGGACTCACATTTTGTCTCTTTAAAAGCTCGTCATCTGGAAGCATCTGCATTCGTAGTTGATGTTCATTATGAGAGGGATTCATCCAGCTGACGAGTCCCGAATAGAATGAAATGTGCTTCCTAGATTTCACTACTAGCCATCTCTGACCTGCCGGAAATATCGAGGTGATCTGCAGATGATGTACATATGTCAAAAGCAGACTGGTTAGTTTGAGCCCTAAAAACCAAATGAAACATACAAACAACCAATATATTTGAGTTAACGTAGAAACTTGGAGATTTTCTTCCGCAGTCCCCACTAACAGGAAGATGAATTTCCGTGTCATTTCCCAAGTGATTATTTTCATATTCATAAATTTGACTAATCAGACCATTTAGATCCCGCGAGCGGGATCGTGTATGCACACCGCTGAGGAGTCCCACAATAGGACGAAACGGCCGTCCAGTGCTTCCAGGTTTTCAATGGTGGTCTAACATCAATCGGTTCATGATCTCAATCAAAAATATACGGTTAGTTTGGCTGCGTTTGAGAGTAATGTGACAACATTTAATGCACCTTCACACATAGGTGACTTGTAGTGAACGAGAAAAATGGAATGTGTTTTAATACAACATTACAGAATATTTCGGTGAAATGTGAGAACTACTCAATAAAGACTTCATTTGCAAAATGTTCATTAATTGTCTCAGATTTGATTGTCCACGCATTTCCATACCAATTGCTTTCTGCTCTCGTTCTTTCTTCCTAGGTTTTCTCGCCCTTCTGCTGCCAGACATTCTATTCCTGACTATCGGTATATACTACTTATGTCAATATAAGTAGCACACACTACAAACTAATTGCTACGGCCTATCAATGACGTTACGTTTCGTTTCAACATATGCAAGAAAAATACAAAGGCGGATAACTCCATAGCTTCTTTTAAAGACTTGAGAATAAACCGGAAATTAGATATGAGGTCACGTTAGGAAGAAATGAAACTATGTAATTCGGTCGTTCATACTTTGAAGAATTCTAAGAGAAACAAAACGTGAAATAAGTTATGAGATTCAACCCTAAGACAAAAGTTAAATAATTTATTACACAATGCACAACACAACTTTCAGAGGTTTATCATGTTTGGTGAAGCTTCTGACAGTGAAAAGGAGCTAAAGGTAGCCATTTGACGATCAAACTCGGTAGATGTTGTCTCACATAGAAATCTACTCCCGATTGTTTCTTCGAAACGTAACCTTAAGCTTTTAACCTCAAAAAGCCTACACATCAGTTCAAATCACACAAGGGACACAGCCAAGGCGAACGTAACTCTCTACTTTTGCTAAGGCGGTCTCAAGAATAGTAAGATTTTATTAAAAGGGCTGAGATCTCTTCCGGGACGACAACCGCTTGCACACTTTCTGCCAATTTGATTTTCTGCACGACCTTTGCCCTTTGATCGGTCGTCATGCCTTTTTTAGTTCGCTAAATCGCTACACGCACGGTCGTATTCTGCCACTATAGTAACAATTTTCGTGACAGTGTCGTTTAAGTTACTTTTTTTATCAAGTCGTAGTTGTCGAGATTGATATGTTGGGCATAAGTGACTCTTGTCAGTTAAGAAGAGAACCAATCGTATCAGACGGGCTCAAATGTTTTCACTCATAATTCCGTAACATCGTAGGTCGTACTGAATCCCAATGACATGACTTAACAACTTTACGGGAGGAAAACGTGGCACAACCACCCCAATGTTGTTCATTACACTGTTTATAACGCATGTACGGCCTCGACTTGAAGTAAATAGTCGTTACACCCTGTATCTACAAAAGTGATATAAATATTATTTAGCCTGAGTACAGAGACGGGAAATTGAGTTGATGATGGGTCTAAAGCATAAATCTTACGAGGACAGACTTCAAAACCTGGAATTATTTCTGTCGGGCTACAGGAGAATAAGATGTGACGAGATGATGACACACAACTAATTAAGTAAATCAACCACCAAAACCCGAGTATATTACCAGAACATTATCACTATGTCCTTGACGCAACCTCTTAATGATTGAGCACTTAAGGGCAAAGACCCAGTTACTCTATTGATTTTTCTTATCAGGAAATGCCCCCATTTAAAATACTTTTCAGCCGAAGTGAGCACAGGCCTACTAGTGAAAAGCATTACGAGATTTGACAAACACGTGCCC